CCATTTATAACTCATATTAATTAATATAGGTACCCAACCCATTTATTTATGGGCGGGTTGGACTGATTAGTGAATAAAGTGTTAAGATTGTCACCTCAACTAACAACCCATAACAATTATATTTTCAAATAATATTGATGTAACTATTAGAATTTAGAAAGAATAGTATTGGCATTAGTGGTTTTGTGGCATTAAAGTTTGTAAGACATTAAATATGAAGGATATGAACGACATAATTATATTTTTGAAGGGTGACGATGGAAAAAAAAAAAGTTTTTCATATATTCTGCTATTTTAAAATAGTATAGATATAGCATTACTCTATAAATATACAATATGTTGTTTTTTGATAACCTAATTCAGCACTTCAAACTAAAAACATTTAGAGCTTTTGTATTAAGTTTGTTTGATAAACAACACTTACACTACTTAAAATATTAGGTACCACTTAAAATAGAGTAAAATTTAAAGTGGCATATCACATACAATCAATTTAATGATGAAAATGCTAGTTGTTCTTTGTGGTATTCAAAATATAGTAAATTCATTTATTGAAATTTTTTATTTGAAATATGTAATGTATATCAAACAGTCAAGAATGAAATAATTACAATAGTATGCACAAAACAGTTACAGGTACAAAATAAAATAGTTACACAACAAATATGTGTTTAAACAATATAAAAACTGACGCATTTGTAGAATAGGAACTATTATTGAATTTTAAGTAGATTAAGATTAGTGTTTGACACTATGTCCTTAAGACAGATTTCGCCCCCAAACTTAGTGCTTATGGAAATCAAAACATCTGGCTCCCAGGATACAATGATATAAACATGAGTAGAAGTGACACTCCAATTAACTCATCCAACGAACTATAAATTATATTGTGTACTCCAAATGCAAACTGTCTTAATGTCGAAATGTAATGCACTAATGTCTATCTTAATTTTGAAAATGGACCGATGAACTGATACAAAATGGTAATGAGAGCTTGGGTATTTATCGACAATCTGGTGACTGTTCCAGACAATCATCATGTGAAAAGACACAACCCAGTAGACACACATGCAGCTAGAAAACACCACTTGTGTAACTGTTTTCTATAAACAGTCACAACTCAGAATTTGTGGACTAGAAAGAAGTTACAATCTGAACTAATACGAATTCAAATCTAATGGGTGCCGAAATTATATTCTAGATTAAGAAATTCATACTCAATTTATTAAACAAATTTTTTTCAAAAAGATAAGGTTTGGTCTAAACTACACCCACACCCACACCTGGACGGGTCTGGTTGTGCGGGCAGGCAGCCGGCGCTCGTGCGCATGTGTGATTGAACTAAAGGCATGTAGACACTTGCTTTGCGTTGCTTATAAAATTGTGGTACCCCTTAAGCCTCAATCCCACAGAGTAAACTTGACTTATATATGTTCATATAGAACTTCTTGCTCAACCAATGTGGGATTGGTGTCAAAACTCACATTGCACTACCTCTATTTTTTCATTTCAAGATGGTCATTTTAGAACCTATTTTCTCATTCATTTCTTGCTTGATTTAAGCAAGTGAATATAATATGTTATTGTATCCACGAAGTAGAATACAAACCCACCAAAATTTACTCAAAACAACGAGCGGGTATCATTATAATTTAGGCTCAAAGTCGATAAAAAATTCAGTTTTTACACTTAAAATTGTTTTGGTCCAACACTAGTTAATAAGGATTTTATAAACTTCTCATGATATATAAGTTTACTCTATGTATTTACATTCCAACTTTTCAACACCCACCAAATCATTGCCACTACCGTCATTGCCACCACCATCACCACTGTCATCACCCACCACCCCCCATTGTCATCACCATCCACCACCCCAATTGCCTTCACCACCATTCCACCATATTCACCATCACCCACCACACCTCATCATCGATACTACTACCATCATCTCCACTACTATTGCAACAAACCACCACCATTACCACTATCACCACCTCCCACCTTCGCCCAAATACCCTACTTCACCACATACCCACCTCTATTACTACCTTCACCGTACACATTTATCACTTGACCACCCCCCGTCATCACCACCACAAAAAAACCAACAACCATTGCCATCACCAATACTATTATTTCTCCACTATCATCACCCACAACAATTATTCTTGCCATCATCTCTCATTACCACTTTCACCATCATCAATATTCAATCACAATCTCCCCGCCATCGTTTTTACCCAATTCCACCACCCACCACCAAGTTTCTTACAATTATCACCATTACTCTGACCATCGCTACTACTCAACCTCAACCACTATGGTGGTGGTGGTGGTAATGATGGTGGCATGGATGTGGTTAGTTATTAGGGTAGTAGCTTAATGGCTATCTTTTGCGTAATGAAGGTAAAGGTCATCAGTGATGGCATGTGGCTTTTGCGGTAATAATCTGTGTAGAGCAGTGATAATAGTTGTAAAATGATAGCGATCATGGTGATAGAGATATAAGATAGTGACGATGAAATGGTAAAAATGAATAACAAAATTGAAAAAATAATATTTTCAGACTTTAGGACTTTGTACTGATCAATTAGTTCAATACTCAATACTTAAATGTTAGGGGATACCTAATAGTTTACAAATTAAAGGATTCATCATTCAACACTTAAAATTCAACATTTAATTTTTATTACTTAATTTTCAATTTTATTAAATACCACCCAAGTCTTTTGTATGAATTAATAGTAAGTAATTTACTCTTAAGTAAAAATTTAAAAAATTATTGGAGAAAAATTTGATCCATACAAATCTAAAAGCTCAAAATTATATATAGTTAAGTTTGCGCATAATCTAATGACTCAAAAATCACGCATATTCGTGCAAAATACCAAAATTAATTAATATTAATGAATTATCAAAGTTTTTTGTTAGAGGATAATTGAACCAATATCTCATTTCACTTTTTGTCAGCTTGTTTACTAAATGTAAGGGTAAATGACACTTTATGTCGTTACAAACTTCTAAAATTTTAATTTATATGAAATAATACAAATTTTCATTCTACCCCATTGAACTTTGGTTTTGAACAACATTGCTATATTTTTATCCGATTGAAGTTTTAAGAATTTATGTCATCCATAGGGCTAATAGTCAAACGATCCGAGCTTAAAAAATTGTTTAAATTTTGCTCATTTAAAAAATGAGTCGAACCAGAGACGAGTCTGAATATTTGAACATAAACGAGTAGAACTTGTCGAGTGCAAGCCAAACCTATTGAACTTGTGTTTCCAAACGAACCTATAAAATTATTCAAATTTGATTCGTTTAAAAAACAAGCCGAGCTTGAACGAGTCAAAAAACGAACCGACCCCGAATTGAGTTTGAGCAACTCAGTTTGATTAATATCTCTAGTCATTAGGTTTTATATTGAGAATTTAAAAATATTTTGAGACATTAAAGATCTGTTGCCCCTACAAAGATGAATATGAATATGATCAAATACAATGCACGAGTTAATCACCTATTCAACAATAAATATTTGAAATGAAACAAGCAACTATTGTACCCTATTTTTTCCTTTATCATCAAATTCAACAAGTTATACAGTAAACACATGTCATTGAAATTGTTAATGTCTCTTCAAAAAAAAAAAGTGTTAATGTCGATGACAAATGAGTTCACAAGAAAAGATCAAAATTTCATTTCAAAATAATAAAAAATATTCAAAGCGATTATTTTTTCAAGAAGATCAAAGCAAAACAATGATTAATGTTTTAAAACGATTCAATGTATTTTAGAACATTTTGAGCTATTTCAACATAATCCCACTAATGTTTCGAAATTTTGTTTCAAGATATTTTGCTTTATTTTAAATGATGAATTATATTTTGCACTATGAAAGATTTAAAAATTATCACTTTGCACGTTTAAAGATTAGATTTCTCATGTTATACTTTCAATGTATTAAAAATATTACATTATAATAATTCTTTTAATTTTTATTACTCATTCCGTCTATATTCATACGGGCATTTTTTAGAGATTAAGCAATGCAAATTAACAAAAAAATCATATTGTAACATTTTTAATACATTGAGGGTGTAACATGAGAAATATAATATTTGAGAATACGAAGTAAAATTCTTATATTTTAAAATGGTTTAAAAAGAAAGTTTCATACTCTTTATCAAAAAAATTTAAAATATTTTTATTCTCTAGGGTTAATTGCACCGGAAATTTTTAAAATATGGAGTTTGTCTTATTTTGGTCCCTAATATTTCAATTGTATTATTTTAATCCCTGAAGTATTGAATGTGTTTCTATATGGTCCCTAAAGCAGAGAAGATTGTTAACGATTTTTTATCATAAATTTGTCACATAATACCTAAAATAGGAACAAAAAATAATTTTAATAACTCTTAAACAACATTTGGATAATTTTTGACAAAAAATGTGTAATATGAGTAGCTTTTGACCAAATTGGGATAAATCATGATCAAAATTCTGTAATTTGAGTAGCTATTTAACTAAAATTTGTGTAAAAATTAATCAAGTATTATTCAAATAATTTTTTTGTCCATATTTAAGTATCATGTAATAAATTTATAATAAAAAAATTATTAACAATTTAGACGTTGTCAACTTAAGAAATTATATAGAAATATATTTAATATTTTAGAGATAAAAATAATATAATTAAAATATTAAGAATCAAAATAAGAGTGAGAATTTCTGCACAATCAGCACTATTTTCTAAGTTAACGAAATAATGTACGGAAATAAAAATATTGATGATTGTTCATACAAATTCATGAAGTCTAAACTGTCTCGCGAAAATGACGGGTGCATATTTCTGAAAACAAAACATATAACCGCCACTCCGAGTCCAATTTCCTTCTAACATATTTTGCATCTTTTACAATTCTCAAAGCAAATTGTAAGAAAACAAAAGCAGACTCTGAAATCATTGCAACAATACTTCAAGTTTCCCCCTTTCCATGTCGTTGAACAGATTCAAAGAGACCCTGAAGCCTTGCAAGAACCTATCATCATCCTCATCCTCTACATCAGTTTCTTATTTTTCACAAACTTCTTCAATTTCCAACCAATTTGACCCAACAGTGAACACTAGAAAACCCCCCAAATCTTCTCTCTCTCAGCAGCTTTCGCGCCTCCAAGACCCCCTTTCTTTGCCCCAAAGCCAATCACAAAGACAAGAAAAAGAGTCCCAAGTTGAAATTGAAGCTAAAGATGAAGACGAAGAGGAAGACAAGCAAGAAGGGTTTGGGAGACCCAGATTGGATCATTTTCAGTTTGATCACACAGGGCCCTATGAACCATTGGTTCTTTCTTCACCGGGCGAAATCCCAGTGATACAGGTACTTTTACCTAATACCCATTGTCAAACTTTTCTCTTTTGACCCATCTGTTTATGTCATGTTATATTTTTTTGTTGAGTTATATTGAGCATTGAAGTGATCTTGTGTTATGTGCACATTTTGTTTATGTAATTTTAGATGTAGTTATTAGGAAGTTATTTTAGTAAGTGGATTAGTGATAGGGTATTTGTGGATAGTTTTACGGTGGTTAACTAGGTAATGGGGTATGTTGGTTATCTATATAGTTTTTTTCATTATGTATTTAATGAAATTGATATGTTGGATATTGAGATAAATTTTCTTGTGAAAGGCTGTGGGAGGTCGGGTTCTTCTCGAAGTGAACCAATGCGGGTTTCCACCCCCTCCAATTCTATTTTTCGTTTGTTTCTAAATTCCAAGGGTACACATAACATTTGGTATCAAAGCCGACAATCTATTAATGACTACCTCATGGGAGATTTTAAAGTTGATGTGTGATGATTTTCAAAAATCATTTTGGATATTGTTTGAAGATTCTCGACGCATTCAAGAGAGCTTCAACCGGCTTAGAAAAATCCTTCAAGAAGAAAATTTGAAGGCCAACCAACATCATTAGTCAACTGGTCATAAAGATTATTGCGCTATTGATGAGAAACAAAAGTCTTTCAGAGTAGCAAAACAAAAGCTTGGCGGTGAGATAACCCAAGACTCACATCCTCTTCGGTCTCCCCAACCGAAAGCTTCTTCAGCAAAATACATAACACAAAAAACTTTTTTTGGGGAGTTGATGATGTCAAAGTTGCAATTACTGGAACCTAAGGCATTGCAAGCTTCACACGTCATGACAAAGCATGGGAGTGCCTACTGCAACCAACTATTGGAGCGAAACATGCAGGAACCGAAGGTGGATTATGTTAGTAGTGCAGTAGGTGAAGATAAATGTTCAGATGATTTGAAGTTTGACAATGCAGTCCACTTGTTACAACCTTATTGCAAGTTTATTAGAGGTGGAAATAATGATCAAGTTGATTGCTATGAGAATTCGGAAGTGGGCTGGCTGCCTCTTCATTTTAATGACAAATCAAACTTGGGGACAAAGTTTTTTAAAAGGGAAATGGAATGTTATGTGCACATTTTATTTATGTAATTTCAGATGTAGTTATTTGGAAAGTTATTTTAGTAAGTGAGTTAGTGATAAGTTATTTGTGGACACTTTTTTAGGTGATTATCTAGGTAGTGGGGTAATTTGGTTATCTATATTGTTGTTTTCGTTATGTATTTAAAGGCCTTATTCTTAATGAAATTGATATGTTAGATATTGTAATAAAACTTTTTGTGAAACGTTTGGGAGGTTGGGTTTTCCTTGAAGTGGACCAATGGAGGTTTCCACCCCCTCGAAGCGGGTTTTCTTTTCCCAATTCTATTTTTTGTTTGTTTCTTAATTCCTCAAAGTGTGCATGTAACATCTTGTTCAATCTTTAGTGGTTTGGAGCAGAACAATAATTTGCTTACAGTGATTCTGATTTTTCCTTTCCTGTCCATCTGTTGGTTTGACCCATTAGTTTATCTCATATGTTATTAGATTTTGCTGGGAAAAGTCTGCTATGTGATGTACTTCTGCTGGGAATAGCAGCTATGTGATGCACTTTTGCTTTTATCTTGTGTTGTGTGAACAACTATGCTTAATTGCTTGTTCCAATTGACAGTTCTCAAGTTTGGTTGAAATATGGATTGAGGACATAGGTGGTGGAGTATAGATGATTTAATCTATAGCATCCTCTCAACTTGTTTTTAAATGCAAATAATGGAGGCACCAGTACACCTGATGGTAAGGAATTTAGAACAGGTGATAAATACCGTTTTGCAACATCACGGAATCATTAAGGGATCCCAACAATCAACAAAGTCTATTTCGCGAAATTGAAACAACTGTGCAATGTAAGAACAGATGATCATAAATTCTCCCGCAGTTTTACACAGAATACACCTTAGTGTTAAGTTTGGATAATTTCCTCTTAAGTTTCTTAGATGCAAGTAACCATGCAAATAACTGAACTTTCTTTAGTCTTCAAGTTTCTCATGTGCAAGTAACCATACAAATACTTGAACCCTTAAAGGTGCTTTGGGCTTGCAAATCGTGTTTGAGGACTCAAAAATTTGAATAAAGCAACTAAGGTTTCCAACAAAGATTTAAGAAGAGAATTCCCCTAAAGAAGAAATGATCCATCTTCTTGCATCCATTGAAGATTAATGTGGAACTAAATTATCCAAAATGGACAAAAGAAAGGAAAACCCATGGATTTCTCTATCGTTTGAATTCCTAAAGAAATCGAAATTCGAACAAACCGGGCAAGAATAAGATGCTACTGTACTATCAATGGATGAACTTTAGGATATAGTGAAATGATACAACCATGGAAACTTTGAAGCAAAAGAGGCCCCAAAAAAAAAATCACAACACCAAATTTTCTCCTGGTTATTAACAAGTTTGACATTCTTGGGAAAAAGATGCATACCTAGGGAAATGAAATTCCAAGAGCAACGAGAGCACACTTTCAAGCTACTGTTAGTTCGAGATGGAGATACTATTTTCCAACTAACACCAAGTGATCTTTCTTACCTTCACCACTACCCTTCCATCAAAAGTTTGTTATCTTCACCACTTTCAAATTCATTCTGAAAACAAGAAAACATGTTCCTTCCTTCTATCCTTTCAAGAACTTCATGTGTGGTCTTTTGATTGTCCACTCTGATTTCCCTATTTTTCTTGTAAAGTTAGTGGCAAACAAAATTTTAGAAGGAAGTTGTAGAGCTGGAGTTTTTTTTTTTCTGGATAAATAATTTGGAGATTGTAAACAGCAGAAGCTTAAGTCATTCACATGTTGAGATAATTATTATGCTTCTCTATTAACTCTCTCTCTCTCTCTATACATATAGTAATAAACAGATATATATGTCCATCAAGTTGTTTATGCTCTTTTCCCTGAATTTATAGTCCATAATTCTCTATATTTCGTTTTGGGATGTCCTAAATTTATTGTCCAGTTTAAAAAGCCAATGCAGAGGACGTTGATTTCCTACTTTATCCCTTTTGGAGTGATTTGAAAAGCTTCCCACTCTGTTAATGTTAACATGTTTTGACAATAAAGACAAGAGCAGATTCAAATGGCATTTAAAGTGACAAAGTAAGGGTTTTAGATCCAATTGGATGTCCAAATACGCCGTTGGTTATAATTGAAAATTTACAACACTGTGCATCAAAACTTACAGGGTTTCTCAAGGAGTTTATTGTTAACAACTAAACAACCTTTTCATTGCAGGTCCCAGCGTCTATAAATTGTAGGCTTCTGGAACATCAAAGAGAAGGGGTGAAGTTTTTGTATAACTTGTATAAGAATTACCATGGAGGTGTTCTTGGAGATGATATGTGAGTGACTTTCTCCCCTTTTGAATTTTCTAGATGAATTGTTTCATTGTTTATTATTTAGACCACTGTTCATGGCTGTTCTGAATCTTGAGCAGGTTATGTAATGGGTATGGAGAATATTAGCCATGGTATTACCATGGCTGTGAAGATTTAAGATCCTTCTTTGAACATGTTCTCATTTAAGATGAGAAAGGCACTAATGAGTATCACATGACCATGATTTATGTGTCGGTCAAAGACATGGAAATATGGAATCATGCTGGTACAGAAAGTATTTCAGTTACAGTTTTTGTCAGTTATCTCATCAACCTTGTGATTTTATATAACTATAGCTCAAGCAGATCCATAAGTTGTCATTGGGCTTTTGATTTTCGTGAGGTGTTTGGAATTGGTAACCTCACTGACCTAGCTACCTTTCAGAAAGGGAAGCATGTACGGAATAATAAAGGAAATTTTTACGAAGTTAACTGCAGAATAACAGTCCATTGCTTTGTCTAGTGCAAAATATGTGACAATGCAAACCCCCTAGCAAATTGTATTGTAAAATGACTTTTTGAAAAATAGTATGCCTATGACCAAAAAAAAAAGAAAAAGAAAAGTAGTATGCCTGTGTTCAAGAGAACTAAATTCAGAAATCCAAAATATCTTTTACCCTTTGTCTTCCTATAATTTAACCTTGTAGGAGAAAGAAAAATATAAGATGATGACTCAAATTTTGAAGAGTCCCACTCCAATTCTTGTGATGCACTAGTAAATATTGCAACACTTTTTCCTGAATCTTTGTATTTGAATTGGCACAGCGTAATAATGAATAGTAATAATGACTAGAATTTCTCGTTGTCAAACGCTAGTGGTAGGCAAAGGTAGATTGAGCATGCGAATAGTCTTTAGTCCAAAAGTCTATCTTCCTCCATATTGAAGTGCTGCAGGGCTTTTCCAAACTGGAATTTTTTGAAGTTGGTGAAGATCCCGTAGCTTTTTAAGAAAATACTGGTTGTACCCCTTTTTCGGCCCCTATTGGAGTTACTTGTACTAAATAGCTCGACTGATTAAGGATGAACTTTACACAATTTTACATGATAATAGTTAGAAATTCAGAATTTATGGAAAACCTGAATATTCTGATTATAGATATTTAAATAGTCATCTACAATGCACTAGAAAACCACTATAGCATTGAGAGATATCGCGTTGACTAAACAGTCTGCATACCATATTTTGCAGCAAGTGATATGTAGTATTCCCATTCCCGTTACTGCAACATAAGCCTACTTATTGCATACCATGTTTTACAGTAAGTGATGTGTTGCGTTCCCATTCTTGTTTCTACTTTCCCTTTTCCATTACTTATACCGAAAAGATCCTTGTTCTTGGTAACATTGGTCTAGTAGCATTGAGGAATAGATATGGACATTTTGCTCTTTGCTATGTCAGATGTTACTCTTTGATTTGATTAGATGGACTCTGTATTAAATCTTGTACAGAAAATGGCACAGACTACAACCTGTTCTAGTATTCTAGATCAAGGATCTAAATATAGTTTCGAAACGGTCGAAACGTCCGAAACGTTTCCGTTTCCAAGGAGACCGAAACGAAACATTAATGGAATCGAAATTTTAATATTTCGAAGTATTTCATAATATTTCGAGATGTTTTATAATATTTTAATGCATTTGCACAATTATTTCGGAATATTTCAAGATATTTCAATATATTTTTATATATTTCGATCAATGTTTTAAAAAAATAATTCTTAAATTTTTTATATTTTCATTATGTTTCCAAAACTGGTCGAAACGTTTCCGAAACATGTCGAAACGCTTCCGTTTTTTAGGTGACCGAAACAACACACCGAAACGAAATTTTAATCCTTGTTCTAGATGTGGTCATCCAAGGGAATGGATACTTTTACTTTCTAGGTGATTTAATGTTTGGTAACACTTTTTTATGTACTTTCTAGATTTTTTGCTATTTTGCCTTTTTCAAAACTAGCGTTTGTTTTTGTATTATTTGATTATTTGTTTTATTTTGCTTTTTCCTTGTTCGAGCTTACTCCCTTGTTCCAAGCGTAGTCACATGTGTAGTATTATACATATGCACATATGTAAGTGTATTTATATTCTAAGATCCATATTCCATATAGATCACTTGATTCACTTTTGGTATATAGTGATCATATATGCTAATGCCTTTATAATAAAAAAGTTTTTTAATTTAAAAAGTCACTTAAAAAAGTGTCATCAGACGGTTCTTGCTTGCGAGGGTGGCTCCCTTGCAAGACAATTATACTGTATGGCTCCCTGGCAAGAGTAAATTCTCAGAAAGGTCAAGTTTCTTTCTGAATTCAGCTGATCAATTGGTTTGTTATTATAAGAAAATAAGAATTCCTTAACAGTATCTTAAATTCCTAACTGTGTGAAATAATAGGGTTGCAACTTGCAACATCTATTTAACATTTATCTATACAGATAAACAAGCAATTATCCCATCTTTGGAGTGTGAACTTGATAATCACCAATGGAGAACCCTCTTGTCATTGACAAATTGGTTCCAAATTCTTATAGAAACGAGGCACCTGTTTCATTACTATTTTAAAGTCCAAGAGCAAGGGCTTTTTAAGTGAAAAAGGTGATCTTCTGATGAATGTGAATCTGACTTCAAGGCCATTGTCAATATTATGAAGAGTTATTATAGAGGTTTATCAGATTCTTTTTAGGAAGAAAGAGGACCTGCATTTTTGAAGCTTGTGACATGTATAGCATGTGGCAAATGCCACATGGTTATCGTGGTCATGCTTCTGCTGCTGAGTGTTGATCTACTATTTCTGTAGTGACCTACAGGTTCTCTCTTTTGGCTACAGAATTTTTTTGCTTACTTGATTGCAGTGGCGATCCCATAAATTCTTTCTTACAAGCTGGGATTGCCCTTGCCCCTAAGGGTTAAAACAACACTAATTAAACTAATTAACATGATAGTTTATTCAGGAGAAGTTCTCTGAAAAAGTAACTACAAAAAAAGTCGTCTAAAAAAGTGAACTTTCTATACATAAGATTTGTTTGGTTAGCCAGAGTTTTGATGATGCTTTGTTGTAATACAACCCGGACTTTGGCTGTATTGGTTGGGCATGTTTTCTCTTATTATAGATTTTGAAAGTTGTATTGCTAGAACACTTGTTTTTAATTTTTGTTTGAAATTTGATATATGGTTGGTGTATTTATCGAGTTGATTCCTGTCTTTGTTTTTCTTTAATTGGTATATTGGAACAGGGGACTAGGGAAGACTATACAGACCATTGCTTTCCTTTCTGCTGTGTTTGGAAAGGATGGAGAGTTAGGTGATTCAGCATCACTCAAGGGAGGTCAGTTTGGGAAGAAGGGACCTGTACTAATAGTTTGCCCTACTTCAGTTATTCACAACTGGGAGAAGGAATTCTCTAACTGGGCAACGTTCAGTGTTTCTGTTTACCATGGTGCAAACCGTGATTTGATTATGGAGAAATTGGAAGCACATGGCGTTGAGATACTTGTGACCAGTTTTGATACATATAGAATTCATGGTAGCATTTTATCAGAGGTTCAGTGGGATGTTGTGATTGTTGATGAGGCACACCGGCTTAAGAATGAAAAGTCAAAACTTTACGGAGCGTGTTTAGAGATCAAAACCCAAAAAAGGTATGGACTCACAGGAACCATAATGCAAAACAAAATTATGGAACTTTTTAATCTCTTTGACTGGGTCATACCAGGATGTCTGGGAACACGTGAACATTTTCGCGAATTCTATGATGAACCCCTCAAACATGGCCAGAGGTCAACTGCTCCTGAAAAATTTGTCCGGGTTGCTGACGAGCGAAAACAGCACTTGGTGTCAGTTCTGCGGAAATATCTACTGAGAAGGACAAAGGAGGAGACCATTAGTCATCTTATGATGGGGAAGGAGGATAATGTTGTTTTCTGTGCCATGAGTGAGTTGCAAAAACGGGTTTACCAGAGGATGTTACACCTGCCTGAGATCCAATGCCTTATCAACAAAGACCTCCCATGTAGTTGTGGGAGCCCACTAAAGCAAGTTGAATGTTGCAAAAGGACTGTTCCAAATGGAATCATCTGGCCTTACCTTCACAGGGATAATCCAAATGGTTGTGACTCTTGCCCCTTTTGCCTTGTGCTACCTTGCCTTGTCAAGCTTCAACAGGTTATGACACTTCAATTTTCGTACTTTTACTGCTTGTGATAGTTACTTTCTGGTCAGCTGCTTTCAAATTTGTCAGTTATAGGAACTTGTTTCATAATCATCCCTCTTGATAGTGAGTGTAGTTATATTTTGGTATCAGAATTAGTAAAAAAACTTGCGTCGAGGTTTTTGTAGCCATTAATGCAGAAGGCTAGCTGGCTAGCAGCAGATTGAGTTTTTGAGTTCCCATGATGCACGGCGAAGCTTAACTTAAACACTAATCAGTATTACGAGATTTTGCTGAAGCTTAACTTGAATACTATTAGTATTATGAGATATTTCTTAGTTTAAAAAGTGGTAAATGTCAAGAGCGGACGTATAAAAATAAGTATGATGAAATATAACAAAGAACTCCTCAAACAAACTTACCCAAAAAACTGCTCAAACAAAACTGAGTTCTTCAGACATCGTGAGATTCTGAATGGACATTTTAGGACACTGCTTGTTTGTCTGAATTAATTTGTGAGACGTTGTAGTTGCAAACTATGCCGACTCGGCCTATGTCGGAGGGGTTAGAGTTTAGATCCAATGGGGCTGAGGATAGGAGTGGATTGAGAGGGCTGTTTCTGTGGTAGAATATTTGAAGCACTTGAATGCTAATGAGATGCATGGACTGTATGGTGGGACTAAGACTTTTTTTTCCTGGAAGGTTGGTGGGACTAAGACTTTAGTTCAGGGTTATCATGTACTGCCCAGGAGAATATCATGGTCATTTTCTGTTACCTGTTTAAGTATGGATAATCTGAGAGCAATGAGAATGCCTTATCGTGGCTGTTTTATGTCACTTCTTTTAGTATTCATAATCTGAGAGCATTAAAAGATCTGGTTAATTGTTTGGTTGTGTAAAAAAAGTGGGAGCAACTAATATTAAGGACTTATGATTGAGCTAAGGGCCAAGTGCTTTCCAGATGGTAAAATTGTGTGGAGTCCAGGATTAGAAGTGGCTGGCCAGTGGCAATTTACAATTTGTACATAGCGAAAGAATGTGATAAATTACATTATGATTTCCTGTTTATATGCCAGAGAGCAAGGTATTTCAGTATCTAATGGGGTTGGATGCTGATGTGTTCTTGAATTTTGTGGCTCTTGATTTTGGTAAAATGTGCTCTGGAGAGTCTCCTTGAGTATGAGTGGGCTTAAAGCGTTGTACGCTCAAAAATTACCTGCAGGCCCTCCCCACAAAAAGTGGATAGGGGAGGTTAGTTGTCTCTTTTTTTTTTCGGATTACTCTATTAATTTTTGTGGCGCGAAGGACCAACTTAGAAGATTTGGATATATTGTTTTATGCTTTTCAATGGGCACAGGAGTCGGGTTTAATTTGGGAGGTGGCAGCCTCATATAGTATCTGGGGTGTTAGGTGGGATTGCTTCATGTGTCTTGGATGATTTTGCTCAAGTGTTGAACACATTGGACTAACTTACATACCTTCTGGGGAGTTTGATTTAACTTATTCTTACTAAAAAGGTTCCTTTGTAAGAATTGTTGTAGGGAGTTACTGGAGTATGTGGGGTGGGCGGGCATCGAGGTAGTGCAAGAGTCGTTGAATTTTGAGGAAAACATCTAATCTTTGGTTTTGTATTAGGTGCATATTTTGAACATACAAGACATATCTCATGACATCAGGCATGTTCCTTTAGTGTCTATTGCCTATTGGAGCACGAATCGAACCGGGATTCTATTTTTGGGAGGGCCAAATCCTGTGTATATAAATTGCTGCCAACAAAGTCAAATATCTTCATACCTCCTAGATTCATTTAAAATCTATAATATGTTGGACAAACAATATTAATTTAATAATAATAAAATTGTCAATCATTCATAATTAAATTGAATAAATTGTAAAACTGAATAAATTGTAATTTTATTTTTTTGCAATTTCCTTCTCTATTTATGCAATTAAAGAATCTATGAGAAAATCATTCACCATCTTGTTTCAAAACTTAATTTCACAGTATTCGTGACAAAAAAATTAAGCTTAACTCTTGTCAATCTATCAAAAAATGGGTAGACTATTCTCATTTACTATTGAACTATTTTAATGAAAGAGTCTAGATGTATAATAACCTAATGGTATTTAATTAGTAGGAGAATAATCTAATGAGGGAGTCTGGAATTGTGCGGAAGACTAGAAGTAGAAATTGTCTTGGGATGGCCAATGTACTACACAAATGGAGCTCCTTCTTCAGCTATCACAGATATATACAATGGTTGGTAAAAGTACAGGGGGAGCGCCATGGCCCACCTGGGCCCTTTAGTAGTTCCGTCATTGTATTGGGGCATGTTTCTTGGTTAATTTCAGCTTCAAGGTTGTTCCATTGGACGATTTTCCCAACTCTTAAGCCTCTGTTCGCAGTGTAGTCCTTAAAAGTTTCCAATAGATATGTTTGATAATTAGAATTTCTTTCCTTAGACCATTAAGTGCTCTGTTTCAACATTACCTTTAATTATGTGCTGTATGCCTGCTCTTGCTTTAGGAATTGGAAATCTAGAACGGTACATGAGATGTGTGGACAATAGGATATTGTCTTTGTCGCTTACAGTAAGTGGGGAACTAGGGGAACTAATTGTTTCTTCACATGGCTCTTTCTTGCTGTGTCATGTCTTTTTGCATTCTGTTATGTGATATTTCCTCTTCAAATTCTATTATGTTCACACTTAGAGTTGTCTGACAGATAAGCAATCACCTGGAGCTCATCAAACCCAACCCCAGGGATGACCCTGATAAACAGAAGAAGGATGCAGAGTTTGCCTCCGCTGTCTTTGGTAGTGACATTGATTTGGTGGGCGGATACACCCAGAATGAGAGTTTTATGGGGCTGAGCGATGTTAAACATTGTGGGAAAATGAGAGCTTTGGAAAAACTGATGCTCTCTTGGGTTTTGCGGGGGGATAAGATTCTTCTATTCAGTTACTCTGTAAGGTGACATGCCACATTACTGCTCTTTATGCCCTTTCAAGTACATGCATTTCCTCTGCTAATTCCTCCAAGAAAAAAAAAGAACATTAAATAAAAAACCAGTTCTTCTGCTTGTTGTATTGTAGTTCTTTTTGTTCCGCCCTTTCTGTTTTCATCTCAATTTATTACAAAGTTCAAATGAGACATAGGAAACCACATTTCATGATTTTGGTGAAGGTATACTGCTGGAATTGGTATGCTTTGCTGTTGGTTATGTAATAAGAGGTATGGAAGTACACTTTATGCTTGAGACACATGCTAAGCCGACACAATTTTTTGATTTTGCTCATTCTATGTAGTGCAAACACTTCTAAAAAGGTGTTCATTCTCTTTTTGTAAATAAGAAATATGCACCCCTCCCCTCTTCTCTCTTGAGTTCATCTTGAGGGGAGCTATAGTTCAATAGTATGGACATTTCTCCTTATAAGAGGGAGGGTGTGTTCAAGCCATCACATAGGGGCTCCCATAGTTGCTCCTTGTGTCCAGATTAAAACAAAAAAATAGAATGCGTTGATGATTCTTGAAATGTGCGACTCTATGTATTTGTGATGTGGGTGTGATGTGTGGATTCTGGTGTGTGTGTGTGTGCGTATGTTGTGTATGGGTGTGTGAGAGAGGAAGCAGAGGGTGAGAAGGAGGAAGAAGATAAAGTTGCTTGGTTATATGTGTAATGTTTTTCTTTCCCAATAAAGACTAAGAGTTGTTTGGATGAAGGGTAATTGAGTCATTATGTCAGTATGTTTATTTATTATAGATGGAAAATGTAACGGTTGCTGTTTGGTACCTAATCACAGGGGTTATGGGTTATATGATAATCCATAATTTGCCCTTGAAACTTTAGGAAGAAAAGATTTGGATCATTTTTGGAGGAATCTAGAAGCAGGGTAGTTGGCCGGGGGAACTATGAAAATATGATATCAAAATGCTTCTAGTGAAGAATACTGGCAAATACGTTCCCCATTCATTCTTGGAAAATGCTTATAGAAATGTCATATACCAAGTTATACTTAGCAAACTCAAATAACTAACATTAAACCTCCACCATGTGAGATATGTTAGATGTAAAAGTGAATTTTGGAGACCAAGTACTTAGGACCTAGTTATATGGATTCATTGGACTTCCAGTACTGCGAAATACCAAATTCTCTCCAGATGCAAGTTTTTGCCAAGATTCCTGACGACATCAGCAGGAAGAATGATCTTTCCATGCAAATGTGTACAGTTGGGTGTCATGATCCTGGATTGCTGAAACGAAGGAAAACCATCCAGTGAAAATTCAAAATGCTCTTTTCTTCCCCCCCCCCCCTCCCCTCCTTTTCTCTTTTGAAAAAAAAAAAAAAATATTCGGAGGGGCATTTCGGATAGTTTTCACCCCTTCCCTTTGAGATGCAATGCACTCGCTTTTACTATGGCTTTCGCTTCGTTGCCTGGTGATAGCCCAGTGATCAATTCTCTTCGTGGTTTTAATTAAATAGGTGGGTATTTTTGATGTCCGGGGGCTTGGTTTATATTTCAATTGTTAGCAATAAGATGACTTGACATTTATCATGCTCAGTCAGGAGGTTTGTTTTGTATTCTCATTATGTGCGTGGATTCTTCTGGTTCTGAAGTATGACAACTCTTTGCAGGATGCTGGACATACTGGAGAAGTTCATTATACGCAAAGGATATTGCTTCTCAAGACTTGATGGTTCTACTCCTACTGGCTTGCGGCAGTCTCTCGTTGATGACTTCAATTCGAGTCCGAGCAAGCAGGTGAACTTTTATACACTGACGAGTGAGGGTATTTGCAATTCTATATTCTAAGGATCTACAATTTCCATTTCTAGGTCTTCCTTATATCAACTCGAGCTGGTGGGCTTGGATTGAATCTTGTCAGTGCAAATCGAGTAGTAATATTCGACCCGAACTGGAATCCTGCTCAGGACTTGCAGGCACAGGACAGGTCATTTCGTTTTGGGCAGAAGCGGCATGTTGTTGTTTTTCGACTGCTTGCAGCTGGTTCTCTTGAGGAACTTATTTACTCCCGGCAGGTGTATAAACAGCAGCTATCAAACATTGCTGTTTCTGGAAAAATGGAAAAAAGATATTTTGAAGGTGTTCAGGTTGGGAAATGATTTTACCTAGGTTCTCTCAGTACTCTGGAGTCTAATGGTAATATCTTGGTGAAATACGAGTTTCTCTTTTCAATCCCTTTATTTTTCAGGATTGCAAGGAATTTCAAGGCGAGCTTTTTGGAATCTGCAATCTATTTCGTGATTTGTCTGACAAGCTTTTCACTAGTGAAATCATTGAATTACATGAAAAGCAAGGTCAGGAAAATGAGCACCATCAGAATGCAAAACAGGATTTGACTGATCTTGGGATGTATTTTGTTCCTTCAAAAATAGCAACCGAAACAACTGTGTCGGCATCTGAAACCAGTAAGCCTAGCAAAGTGGAGAGAAATCAAGCCGCGAAACCAGTGCTGGAAGAGATGGGTGAGTTCATTTTCATCTTGCTTTTTCCCCCTTCCTATCGTTCACGAGAAGTTTTTTGTTTTGGTGGTAAGTTGTTCATGAGAAGTTTGAGGTAATGTTATCTGAAGAAGACAGGAGGATTGACTGCTGGCATGGCTGTGTACAAGAACTACGAATGATGGCACATATGTTAGTATGATCTTGCTACTAATGAGGTGATGGTGTGGCCCAATGTTCAGGGTTCACTCCCGCCTACAGATTGTTGCTGGTTCCAACCTCATGTCCGCCCCCCTACTTCCCCCCCCCTCCAAAAAAAAATAATAAAATGATCTTGCAACTAATATATTTCTACTCTTTTGATCCAACTGATGCTTCTAATGTTCAGGTATTGTATATGCTCATCGTAACGAAGATATTGTCAACTTTGGGCATGGGCTCCAAGGAAAGAAAGATCTGAGCATGTCTCAGGAAACCTTGAGGCAAACATACTCCCCCACTGTTGGAAGAAGGAAAACAGATACAATAGATGGGAAGGAGAATACAGGTTCGACCAAGATGCAGAAGAAGGGGCAGTATAGCCGCCTTGCTCAGTTCATGGGCATGGGAGAGGTCGAATTTAGCAAATGGTTATTGTCAGCGACTCCTTTAGAACGGGAGAAAGTGCTTCGAGGCTACAAGAGGAGGAAGGAGAAGATGCCTGATGGCTGAATAGTTTCTTCCCTTGCTTGTTGACAGAATATTTGTGATTTGTACAGTACCATATCATGTACATAGATCTTCACCTCTTGTAATTTAGAAAAGCCAATTAACTGTAGGATTTTCTGGTTCTCTCAGACTTACCCTGGTATCATGTACTTATAGGTTAAGGCAAAATAAAACTAACTGATCTCTTCTCCTAAATGTTTTATTCCCAACTTTTTTTTTCCCCTGGCAATGAAGCAATTGCTACAGACCAAAGGGCTTGAGGCTTAGTCTCTATCACATAGCTGATACCTGTCATTTAGAGGAGATGAAAACAGAATTCCCAGCACCATTCTTGAGTTTCAAATAAGGCATACTGTCTGCTGATTATTCGAATCATGTATAATGATGATAACAACATAAATTCCAAAGTCTTTCATCACTAAATAGATACAGCAGCAACCAAAAAAATGCCAAAATACTCCCACACAGTCATTGACAAGAATAATTCAGCAACCTTGGGGCTTTAAGCTTTTAACTGGGTTGGGAGTTTATATATATATATAATGGGGATGGGGACGGGGACCGGGCGGGGGTAAGAGTAAATTCATTCCCATTAAGGGTGTTCAAATTTTTGACCGGCCGCAAGTTCCTACCCTACCCTACTGAACGGTTAGTCGTAAAAATTGAGTAGGAATGCAGAAGAGTTTTTGGTCTTCTGACAATTTTCGAGTAGGAATGCAGAATAGTCATCCATTTCCGTATTCCTACCCTACCCTACCTGCAATAATTTTTTAATATATATATAAACTAAAAAAAATCCTAAACTCTAGCGGAGCAATTATGATTTTAATGTATTTCATATGGTTTAAAATTTAAACTTAAATTAATTGTTATTGTATTTGTGTAACAATTATGGTGGATTGATGTTTATACTTTTTTGTATTTTATTATAATTCTTGTTGTAGTTGTTTTAAATTTTAGTGTTAATTGATTTATTGTGATGTTAAATTAGTTCATGTTATTTAATTAAATTGTTAAAATGATCCAAAAATTAATTATTACAAAAATGTTTACCCGACTTCTTACCCGATTAATCGGGTAGGAATACTACACCTGTTAGGTAGGGTAAATCAAGAAAAAACTCTTCCGCAAAGTATCGGGTAGGAAGATGCAAGAGCATATTTTCTACCCGTAAAGTAGGGTGAACACTCATAATCCCCGCATGAATTTATACGGGTATTTCTGTATACGTCTACCGTCCAATACGTATAATCCATTCCCGGTCCAAACGAGACGAATTTAAATGAATACCTATTTTTTTCCGGTCCACTCCATCCCTATTTGACGAGCTTGTTCCTGTGAAAGCACATCATAGAAATTTTTGTGTTGATTTCCCAGATGGGGATTTGCTTGCTTTGTTTTTAGCAGGTGCAATTTTTTTGGATCTCAGCACTTCTAACGCAAAAAGAATCTTGTAAGCTATTTGGAGGTTCAGATTAGATAGGTGGTTAGATTCTTTATGTAAAGTTAATAATTCAGGAACCATGACAGTTTGACACTGTTAAGGCTCATACACTTCGTAAAGTCACAATGTTCTATTTGTATAAAAAAAAAAAAAAAAAAATACTTTAAAAAACGATACCGAAGAATGCATCAGATATTTTGCATTCCTTGAAGGATGAATTACACTTTGTACCATAAAAGATTTAAGAATTCTCACTTCAAAAACACCAGTAATATTATCTAAAAGGTCACCAAAGTTTCTCCTCCTGATACCAATTTTTATCCTCTTCTCCAATATCATCACATAAACACAACCAAGATACTGCGAGATTGCCAACTGCAATAACAATGAGTTCCATTGTTAAGCCATTACCAGATAAAACCTATGTCCCCGAGTTGGCTTACTTGATAAAAAGCTGTTGTCTCCAGATTTCATATCTTCCTTCCAGTCCTTTTTGCTTTCTTCCATATCATTTCATTCACTAATACTCTTTCTTCCTGTTGAGGTTTCAACTCTCAAGAAAGCAGTTTGATCTCCAATGACCAGGCTCTTTTTATCTTTTTATCATTTTTTTCAGGGAGGGGTAAGGCAACTAATGACCAAGCGGGATAACAACACTTTTCTTATGGACAATATCTGTGTCATCTTCTCTGCATCTTGAATCTGGAAACTGGCTTTGAGCCATGAGCGGCAGTTTGTTCAATAGGATTTGTTCCAATGTTAGGAGTGCGCTCTATGATAGACCCAGGAAAAGCCTGCACATAACAAAAGTTGGTTAAAGTTCATTATCAACTCATGTTCTGTTTAACCAATCAACCAAATACAATTACAAGGGAACATGCCTTGCTACTATGACTGCCTGGTTCAGAAATGTGAACAGGACCCTGTGAAACCAAAGAAGGCAGATGCTTTCAGAATTCAGACATTTTTCTAAAACTTTATTTTCCCTATTTTGTAAAGAAAACAGGTTCTTGTTGCATTTGATACATCCTGTAATATATTTCTTAAAGAATATGATGTGGTTATCAGCATGGGTCACCGTCAGGTTATATTTTCTAATACTATTAAAATGCATTTTTTTAAAGCATTAAGGAAATTTGAAGACGTAACATAGAAACTGCATTTTTGAAATATATCACCCAATTGCAACCAAGGAACTAAATTTCTTGTGGTTTCAGTGATTAGATGTTTTTTCGAAATGTTTCCAAAATATTTTCAGCACTTCTCCATTTCTAACGTGATCAGAACTATATACTGAAACAAAATTTTGATCCTGGATTGCAACACAGTTGAATATTATGTTTCAGAAGTCAAACAAAGATTGTCACTTACGAGCCCCATACACACACACACAGGGTGATGCCGCTTAGAAATTGAGAAATGCCTTTCAACAATCAACAACACTCATTTCCGTATGGTCTTTTCTACTAAAAGTAAAAGCTTTGAAAAAAAAAACCTAATTTTGACATAATTAAGGAGCATCATTGTTCAAAAAGAAAAAAAAAATGTGTCTCTCACAGGCACAGATGGAGACACAGGTCATAAGGTTAGAACAGCATCAGATGCAAGTAGCTACATAGTCTCTAACATGTGGTTTAACTTTCACCCATCCTTAAAATAGTTATATAACGAAAAACATTGCATATTTAGGAGGGGGGGGGGGGGGAGAGAGAGACCAGGTGGCAAGATTCTGATGGATAGTAATGGTACCTCATTTTTTGATACGGGTGCAGCCTGAACATTCTCCTTCACTTCAGGAAGCTTCAAAGCCTTATCAGTAAAATTGGACTTACTAAATGTTGGACTTTTCCCAACATTCTCCTTCACTTCAGGAAGCTTCAAAGCCTTCTCAGTAAAATTGGACTTATTAGATGCTGGACTTTTGCCATGTGAAGATCCATCTATATTTCGGCAGCAATGAAGAAACCAAATCACCATTGAAGGCAAATTGACATTAGCAGTATTGGTGGGTTCCATATGCTCAAGAACCTCAACAACAATATATTATTGTGGAATTCAAAAACCAACAATATATACAGTGGATTTGGAAAAAAAAACTCAGTATTATCATGAATTATAATACATTGACAAACGTGAAATATAGAATCAATTAAAGTCTTTACTTAAATTTCCTTTCTGCTTTTTCAGCTTCTTGATGATTAGAGAGTTCAACACTTCAATAGCATCGCCCAGAGAGGACAAAGCTTTTAAGCAACATTGGAACCATTTCTAAGACAGGAAGACCAAAGAATAAAGTACAACGAAGATAAATTTGTTTCAACAGACAATTGATTTCCCAAGAGACATTAGCTAGCACATTGTTATCAGCTCAGTTGACAAGCTTTTAGTCACGGGTTCAAATTTAAACGCAGCTATTTTGGGCCAATAACATAGGGGGTTATACAAGTAATCACATCAATCCCCTCCTCCCCCTTATCTCAACTAATAGGCACCAACATAGGTGGAGGCCTGCACCTTCTACTTGATTTTGAACTGAATTAATGTCAACCTTGAGGGAATACAACTGGAAAGGAATATTGTTTTTGTAAAGTTCGATTGCATGATTCCAACCATTGGTGACAGGTGATATGCTAAGTTTTGGCATGATATTGTCTGATTTTAGTACAATTTTGGTATATTTACGAAATGTTTAGTAATCTAAGTCTTGGGAATGGCTTGGGAACCAAGAACCACCAAAGCCACAAAAGTTGCCATACATGTTGGGTACACCAATTCCCTGAATCACGCAAGAGATCACCCTTTCCAAAATATTTGGCTTTCATGATGGCCTACCTTGTATGCTTATCATCATGTCATCCACTAAAGTGTTAAATCCACAAGCTACCAAATGATATCCATAAAATAATCTATTCACTTAACTTTCTCAGTCCAAACAGCCCAGACATAAATAGCACCTGAATCCAAAGGGCTTCTTTTGCTTCGACATCTTAAAAGCTAGCTTTGTTTTGGACCTTGTCATCATTTGATATTCCTCTTCTGCACGGGCATTCATGACATTTATCTCCTCACCTTTCCTTTTCTTTCTTTGTTCCGCCCTGTTAAGTCTGGCCAATAAGTCTAAAATCATGAAATCTTTAAAATTACTTCTAGGCAAAAAAAACTGCATCTTCGCCATCCGAATAAAACCCACGATCAACAGATTCTTTAGTGAAGGATTCTTGAAAGCCATCATCTTTTGAATAAACTCCATTCGTTTTGGGCCAAACTAATTTCCTCCCAGACATTTTATTCTCAAGAATTGCTTTGCTCTGAATTCGCCCATGGATTTCTTCCAATAAGAATGGTGGGGGGCTCTTCACATTCAATGGAATAAAAGGCACAGCACTTGCACTCAGAACCAATCGACTACTGGGAGCACCTGATACATGTTCCTCTGCACCTTCTTCCTCAAATAACTCAGCATTCGATTCATCATCTTCACTAAATGCAACCATTCCAGCAAATTCTTCAGAGTAATCAAGATCTTGTATAGAGTCGGACCGAAGAGACTTTGTACCCTTCGTTCTTTCTGTTGAGAGCTTCTCTAAAATTCTGTCAGCTGAATTAATCGTAATCTCACCCATTTGTGGATTATTATGCTCAAGGGTTGGATCTCTTTGGTTGATTGATGGAGCATAGAATCCCTTTTCTGGACAAGGGATTTGCTGAACTATTATCAGTAACCAGGCTCATGTTTTTTTAATGTTCTGATCGTTGGAATCTGCTCCTCCACTAACTGATCCTTATTGACACAAAATTGTTCACCACTTGCTTCCTGATCATCATCCACGTTTGACTTGGGAGAAACCACAGAATTATCAGATGTGCATCATTTGCCATAGAAAACTCTCCCACCTCATTTTGACTAAACACTATCATCTGTCCTTTCCCCTTATCCTCTTTGGGTTTCTTCTTCTTAAATTCCTTTTTCTGAACATTCAACCTACTACCTTTCTGTTGAGCTCTTGCTTGCTCCTTTTTCTAACTCTTTCATGTTGTTGGACCTCCATTACCTGTTCCTTGTTCATGATACTCAGCTGCTTTGGAATCTCCATAATCTGCTCTTTACTTACCTCTAAAGATGTAACTTCAGGCCCAGACTTTTTCCTCTTTCTACAATCCATTTCATCATGGCCCTGTTTGCAACAAACTTGACAATATTTTTTGTCTTTTTCATAGACAATCTTCTGCCAATGACCTTTGAGCCCTCCCTCATCTAACCATATTCTATCTGGATTGTTCTTTAAAAGATTGACCAAAACAGACTCTGGCTATACTTGGCCTGGTAAGGTTTGCAGTTGATCCATCAATGGCCAAGACTTGACCACATGGACTCAATAAATCCTCCACAAATTCAGTTGGAAACAGATTGAAAGGTAAGGATGGAAGTGATAACCACATGGGCATAACTGAAGGTTCCATTCCAGATTCAAAATCTGGCAACCATTTTAAAAAACGGAACAAATGACCATTGATTTGGGTTACCTCTTTCATCACCATTTTAAGAAAGTCCTCATAAGGATTGAACCTAAGAAGGATGTGCCAATGATCCAAGATTCCCACTGAAAATTCTCCTTTCACAGCCCATTTGGACAGTTTGTAATTCCAAATTACAATTAAAGATGAGCGACCATAAGAACACTTACCAATAACTGCCAACTCTAGAGGCTTAAAGGATGCATTCATCTCCTCCTTCGTCCAGACTATTGTGGCCTCAACATTATTATACAGCACCGTCGTAGGTGGTTTTTGGATTGAAACTTTGGGAACAGGATGCCCTAGATGAGCAGCTTTTCCAGTTTCTGCTTGAGCAAATTTTTGAGCCTGACAAGTTATCCTGCTAATTGAAAAGAGAGGCATAAGAAATCTGCCTCACTTTTTCATCTTGCTGCAAGGCAGAAACCTTGGCCTTCTGACCAGCAACAACGGTAGACATATCTGCTGTTTGCAAGCAACTCGATGAGACTACAGCCAAGTGATGCAAACAATGAGATCTGGAAGGTAAAGAGGATGGATTAGAGGTTGAAAAAGGTTGGAAACTGCATGATATGGGGTTTGCTGTGAAACAGAAATAGTGTTCTGTTTTGAAAATTTATCGCCTTTAGCTCTTAGCGAAGCAACTTTAGGCAATGAAGGTTTGGGTGGATGAAAACAATCTATAGTCGAATGATGCAGATTTTGATAAACAGGAAAGAAATAAGGTTGACTAGGATAGAAAGAAGGAAGAGTTCGACAGAAATCTGGAGGTTTTGGAGGAATTTGGGTTAGAAAAGCAGTACAAGACATGGAATCCTGAAAAAAAAAACCTAGAGAGAAGCCAGAGGGCTAAACCCTGTTGTCCCGGTCCTAAACCCTGAAAAAAAAAAAGTACGTGGAGATCGACCATTATTTTGTTCATAATCACACTCTGTCGGGTAGCTTCTCGTCAAGTTTCTCTCCATTAAAGATGAAATTGCAGACATGACTAAGCCATGATTAGCCCGACACACTTTCATTAGTGACAAGTTGCACCTTCTGCTCCCTTTCATTATTAACTGGCCCAAAATCTGGAATAATATCACAAAGTTTCAGCCCATTTTTCCTCTTTACCTTGAAGTGCATAGAGATGTCTTTCCAAGCCACACGATGAAACCCTAGGCGTGTCATCATCTTCTACCTCCCAAATGGAGTACCGAAATTTCGTCCTACCATATAGCCTCTAAAGCCTTTTCCTGTTGTTAATGTCCTCTCCAAGCCTCGAAATAAATCTGATTCTAATCTGATAACATTTACCTTGGACTTTGACGTTGAATACTAATGGAATAACACCTCTCACATCTATCCACCCTAATTTTAGCTTGGAACAAATTATGCATAGACAGAGTGTTTTGATCGATCTCCATCAAACTGCCACATCACTCTCCAATTTTCCTAAAGATGTCTTCTTTCCACAGATGAAACGGTAAATCTTCAATTCCAATCCACCCTCCCAAAACTGAAATCCCATCTTTTCCAACATTTATTTCAAGAACCCATTTGGATAATTTCACTATATCCGCCTTCTCTGTAACAATTTCTTTGATCCTACATATATCAATTGCACAATCCAGTCTCACATAGCTTAAATCCTAGATGTAACATATAGCTTATTTTCAACAATATTCGTTGTTCCGAATCCCACAGAATGTTACTGATGAAAGTAACAAAATTCATACTGAAGGGAAAAAAAAAAGCTTGACAACAAAAGAAATCAATGAGTTAAGAAACCAGCAGCAAGCTACGTATCTGGAAATCATTTTTTTGTTATGCATAACTAATGAACTAATAGAGAAGAAAACTCCCAAAACGTGTAACATATTCAAAAAATTAACAAGGATTATGTGCTCACACTATTAGGCAAACATGTCAAATCAGCTCCGTCATAACCAGTATGGCGCTATCGAAGCGGAATTTTGTTAGGAAGAAAAAAGCGGGGAAGGAAATCATTTATCCTTAATGGTTTATAGCGGAATGATTCAAAATTGAATTTAAATTACAGAAAACTCATTATATACTGACCTTTAGATAGAGGATACACCTTCAAACCTTCAAACTGCAAAAAATTGATTTACAGCTTTTGGGACAAAAAGAAATCCACCATCATAAAAAATAGAGAACAAAAGGGATCCAGTTGCTTACATCCAACCGATCAGAAAAATCTTGTTGAAAGAAATTTTTGAAGGTATCTTCCCTAGTCATACTTTCAGCCTTTGAGTGCAATGACGGGGCACTTATCTGATGCACATATGTGGTAAGTTCTTGGAACTTGGTAATTATTTTGTGCAAACTGTGTCCACATTTCAACAATCAATACCAAATACATTACCTCTGAACTTTTGACCTCGTGATCTGGAGAACGCTGACCGAAAACAGAGTCATCCTGCTCATCTTCACTGTGTTCATTGGCATTTTCAGTTTCCTCCTCTTCTTTCTCGAGTTTATCCATGATGGACAATATATGAGTGTATTCTTCATCTACGGACCCAGCTTCCATGTTGTCCGCCACAGCAAAACTAGGAGAATCTGATTGTGCCCCTGTAACTTCCAAGAATTATAAACTTGCTAATATCTCAGCAGCAGAAAATTCTAACCATCAGAATTCATATACCCAATGGCAATGCTCTAACATCAACAAGAAAAATCGAAATAGGAAGATGTTCAAGGAGAAAGCAAAAAACAAAAGAAGCAGCTGAAATAGGTGCAGCTACTGCATGGATGATCATGCAGTGAAACATGGACCTAAAAAATTGTTAAATTTGAATGAAGATCTTTAACTTCTATGCTACCTCCATCAAAAAAATAAAGGTTATACCAATTCAACAGCAACAAAAATCTGATGCTCATATCGATCCTGTTTTTGCTTGTAAGAGGTCACCTAGTAAATTCCAAATTATATCATATTGGAGTCAAACACACCAGCATTCTTTCTTTCTTGTTTTACTTTTCTATAGTATAGATAAGATGGCTTAGTCACCTTCCTCCCCCTCCCAACCAAAAAAAAAAACTTTACCCTACCCCATATAAATTTACCATTTTATCCTTAGCTACTTCTCCCTCCACAAATTTACCATGTCCCCCTACGCTTTGCCACCTTTTCCTCCACCACCCATTTATCATTCCTACCCCATTAAATTACCACTTTAAACTTGGCGATATTTAATTTCATTGTGTTGATTCCCCAACTCAATTTTTTCCTCCCCAAACCAGTCACCCAATAAACCCTCAAATCTCAATATGATTAATTACATTGATATCCCAACACCCCCGCCTTCTTCCCTCCCACATATTACGAAATACATCCTAACTTACTTTTATTTAATTGCTTTGATATCCTACCTTAAACTTTTTTCCTTTTCCACAAAGTACCAAATATACCCTCACTACTTGAATTAGTTGCATATGCTAAATCAATTAATAACATATTTTGATACCATGGACTAACATGTAATTGCATAAAAGAAAAAGGAAGATAACATTATAGGGCGGTTGTATGGAGTGTATAGTCATAAATATAGGTTCTAATTGTGAGGCGATTGCGTATTAGAGATCCATTTTGATATTAGGTCTGAAAGTGCAAAATCAATAAAATGAATGAGGGGGTATGATTGTCAGAAATAAAGATTCCTATTGTGAGCCAGTGGGTTGGCTGAGATTGCACACCAATGAACCACTCTAATATTAGGGGCTAAAGTATAATTACATGACAGGTAAAGGAAGGTAAACCGTAAATGCATAAATAATGACATACCTGAAATCTCAAAAATATATAATAATAAATTTAGCACATCAATGACAGTTATTCATCAACCAGATGAAATAGAGAAAGTGAAGCCTCCAGTTTTGAAATCAACCAGATGCAACAGAGATAACGAAAGCCTCCTATTTTCGAAATTGAAACTTAAGCACCCAAATTTTTATCAATTCTAGTAGGGATTGCTTTTCCTCAATTCAACAATGAAACTGCCTACAGTATGAAAAATGCAGGTACTTGAAACACATCAAGACTAAAACTTCTATAATTGACTAGGCAAACCCAATATCAAAAATTAACATCGAGAAACAAGAATAGGAAATGAAGACTAGAGAATATAAATTATCAAATCGTCCAGGTTCTAAAGAATTATGTTGCATACAGTGGTTTCAATACCAAGTCATCCATATAAACCAATAAGAGCGGTAAACCTGCCTGCTATAGACACTTTTTCCTTTTCAGGAGACAGTTCCTCAACATAGTCTTCCCTTATCTCTACAACACCCTCCTGGTAGCCATTACTAAAAAAATCAATAGTTGAACAATTATAATAATTAGGAATGCCAACACAAGAAAATGAGAATTCATAGAATTTAACATATTAACACAATAGTAAGACTACTAAAACAGGCAATGTTGCATCGTGTTTCCATCAAAACACAAGTTAAAAATGCAAGGGAGCAAAAAGCAGACACTTACTATCTAACCAAAAAATCTGGTATTTAATTCTTTTAGATACAAGAAGAACATTATTCAGAGAGGGGATAAAGATGTACAATATGGAGGACAAGGGCACCACTCTAAAAAATCTCAGTAGATATAGCCGTAGGAACATAATTCTGTCCCTGACAAGATCTAGAAGAAGAGAACACTTATTGGAAATTAATCAAATCCTCTCTAGCCAAATACACCAATAAACTATCATCTCCGCATACTTCCAAAATACCTTAGTCTATTCACTCTGCACAAAACCCCAAAACATAATATGCAGCAACTTCTCCACTGTAGAAGGATAACCAAGGCTCTCCAATAACTTTAAACAAGTTATTCTGTAAAGTCCAAACAAAGGATGAATAATGGATGAATTGTCCTTGTTACATGATACAAATGACAAGAACACACATGCTGTGTGTTTGAAGAAATTCCGACTCCCAAAATTGCCAGCTGAAAAATAGGTTAACTCATACCAACTTAACGCAAAGGCAAATGTAAGATGGAGAGCATGCATCCAACTTTTTGGGTTCCGCCATTCTACCAAAACCTTCTACCTAGACTTTAAAGTCAAAATTTGCATTGGCATATTTTTTATCCAAAAATTGCATTTACCAGTAAGCTGTTTTTTGAGCAGTATAGTTGAGTTTACTGAATTTGGAAAAGACAAGAAAATTGTCGAAGTTACCTCGAAAACTTGGAAAAACATGGTTGAAAAATGGAAGACAGTTGGAAGTGGTTTAAAGACAGTTGGAAGTCAGCTTGGCAGATCCTGATGGACCTAACCAGACAAGATTGAGGTTAATCAGTCAAGATGTAAATTGACAGAACTCAACCCGTTCAGATCAAGGCAGGATGTTGTCAGACCGACATAATCAGCTACTCAATGTTCAGAATTGTCGTCTGTCATGACTGGACCAACCCACCTAATGAACTGTGCCCCCATATAGGCTTTAATTTTTAAGTGAATTTTATTCTCCTTTGGTATGAATCAATCCTACTAGGGATGGGGATCAAGGGAAACATGGTGCACCATGGACAACTTTACATATAACAAAGTTTGGTGTGTTGGTGCAAATGCTGTGAACAATCCCCGTTAACAGCGTTTCAGGGCTGTCTTAGGTTCTTCTATTTGCCTATGGTACAACAATTGAAAAGGAATAGTAACTCAGATTTGTTTAGGCTTACAGAAGGATTAAAGATGTAGATACTAAATAACCAACAAAAGGAATAGAACAAGAGAAAAAGCAAAGAATGAAGCATAGCCTTAAAGTACACCCAAGGCATAGAAAATCCCAGGAGTAACACCTAGGTTCTTAGGCTTCATTATACCAATACGGGGAGAAAATACTTCTCCATTCCCTCTCTATTTAGCAAAAAAATTTAAAAACACGTATATGGAGCACTTTGACTTGGAGACCAGGGGGACTTGTGGCCAAGTAAATCTTAGTGAATAAAAATAGAGACTGAGCCCTTATTTTGGACCAACTAACCAATCAAATCTGACCAGAGTCATGTAGAAGAACCCACAATACAAAAGGCTCATATAGCAGCCAACTTTCAAAGCCTTGAAAAGACTACAATACCCTTACACCAGATTTTAATATTAAGGTCATAGCTTAAGTATAAAAGAATCACTCGACAGGAAATCAACTCTTTTAATTATCCTGCCTTGGATTGATCCAAATTTCCAGGCTTCTCCTTCCACTACACCTTCCTCCTCCTGAAGGTCCAATGGTCTACCTCAAAGACTGGTTTTCTTTTACACCGGACAGAGCCATAATGGTTTATGTCAATGGAATTTACAAGTTGTTTGTTTAAAATGCTAACTCAGCATACTTACCATCATAAAGTTACTTACGTACAAAAAAATCAAAAATTGAAAAACTTACCACTGCCTCAGCAGCTGTAGCGTCAAAAAATGAAGCCTCAGCCTTAAGATCCTGCATTACAGCCTTGAGGGATTCCACTTGGGACTCCAAAACCTTCCCTCTTCGTTTCAAAAACTCTACTGTTTGTTTGGATGTTCTTTCGGCATAGTAACCTTCTCCAAGAAGTACCTGCAAGTGAACTAGATATTACTTGAGTGGTCAAATTATATCAAATTGAAACAGGTTTGTTCAAGATATTAATCACATAGTGATTCTCAATCACAATATCGAGATAGTTCACAAAGGCATTTCAAAACAGTTTTGCACTATTTCGTGATAAAATCAATGATGCTCCATTACTACTGCCATAAACAAATATCACCAATCTCACCACCAGTTCAAAAGTTCCAATGTGCAAATAATGACAATTACATACAAGATTAGTTCGTATCCCTTCCACAAACTTTGTTATTTGGCATGGCTTCATTAACCAAACAAAAATTACAAAATAAAAAAGAAAACATGATTCCTAAGTTACATTGCCAACCAACCCAACAACAACAATAAAATACAATTAAAATCGCAAGCATTCTCATTTCCCAACGTTGGGTTGTAGGGGGAAGTGTGAGTTCTACTAGGCCTGGCAATCATTTCGGGTCTTAGGATTCATGTCAAAAACCACTCAACTCATATACGATTCGTTTATTTAAACGAGGGAAAATCACAAAACTAAACATGACTCATTTATTAAATGAGTTGCACGATATGACCCATGTAACCCAATAAATAAACAAGTCGATTCAGGTTCCTAAGGCAACCCTTTTAACTCACCACCATTACTGACCCGTTTGATCCATTTGTCATAAAAAATTTATATATATATTTCACCTTTTCAGTCAATTATTCCTGCTAATAAATATCAAATTAGGTTACAAACTAACACAAGAATTGTATTTATATCACATTTATTCATGCTATAAGAAATAAGAGAGCGAAAAACTAGATGGAGGTAGATAAAGATAAATTGCCACTTGTTTAGGACTTGGGGCATCCAAGGGGTGGGTTGGACCACGAATTGTGGACTTCTAAAATCAAAAGTGAACAGGATGAAGACCTAGTCTAGTCCGCTTGGAATCTTTGACAGCCCAATTACTATGAGTATACCCATTCGAGTGATAAATAGGGTTGAGATATCTCACCTGAAAATGGTTGGCTTCTAAGACGGATCCACCAGTTTATCACTTGACCCGTAAAGGTTAAACCCAAACTTGTTAATTTCGTGTCGATTTATATCCAATAATCGGGTTGTATTGCATTATGCTAGGCCTAGGTTCTACCATGACTACTTTCCTACCGAACACATTGTTTATAGTATGTTAGTAGTATATTCTAAGACCAATCATATAGATGATGTTTTAGAGTTGTACTAGCAACATTCATTACTTAATTAAATAAAAGGGCAAATTTATTTATCATATTTCTACCTTATTTCATTTTAATATATATGATATAGTCCATAAAGGATAAGTTAAGAAGATAGTTTTTCAAGGTGTTGAGAAGAGGAGACATATATTTCTTAGTACTTAACTCTTAAATGTTCATAGTTATAGGATTACTATATGAGTACTATGTAATTCAGATAGACGAGCACACACTATGTTTACTCATATTTGATGCGAGGCGACTCATCCAAATCATAGTGTAGGGACACTAAAGCAGGTGTATGGGTGGTTGTTAGAGAACAAGTACACTGAACGTCACCATTGACTAAAGTATGATTTTTCATATGAAATTTTACATACCTGTCAATATTAAATTGTGAAGTTATAGTTATGCAATTAATCCTTAGACTTCAGACACCACGGTTGTCTTGTGCATGATCTTCTATACGTTAACTATACAATATATTCATATACTAATTATGTAACTTGGATATGTATTATTGGATATAGTTAGTCATGCATGGAGACTTATGAGTGTACAACATGAAATTTATCACCCTTAGTAAATAAAGGGAGAATATCCTATGTGATCTTCTAGAATATGACTCAAGGAGACCTTAGCTAAAGCAAAACGACAATTAAAAAAAAGTTTTTAATTGATCATTAAGAGTCATAATCTTAAAATCGATCACATAAGATTGAGTTAGGAGTTTGACAGTAAGTTCATATCCTAGTAATTCAATTGGGATATTGTATGATAGAAGGATTGAATTGTATAGTAACTGTAGACTGAATGAATTCTTTACCTACTTCGTGCTATCTGAAGGTTGATTATGATATGTTGCTAGGTGTCACTCATGATTAGTAGAAGTCTGAAGAATGAAATTAATATAAATATATTAATTTTTTTTCATAAAGAGAGAATTAGAAGAGTTTTAATTCAAACTAAATTAAAAAGAGTTCTAATTTCAAATACTACTTGCAGTTAGTATCAAATGTCTACAACCGGATATACTTGAACCTATAGGGTCACACACAGTAGAATTGATTGAAAACTAAAGGTTAAAGGCGAGACAACTAATTAATAATTAATTTGGGTGAAAACCTAATTAAGAGTTAATTAGGGACTTTATTACAATTAATGATTAATAAAGGAGTTATATATAATTATGTGATAATTGTAGCTTGACCCAAATTAGGATCAAAATCCTTAAATCTCTATAAATACATTTATATAGGAGGTGGATAAAAGATATAACAACTTTCTTATTAGCACAAGAAGAACTACCCCTCATTCTTTTTCTACTAATTTATCAATGGTTGAAATAGATCCTTCAAGTTTGTCAATTCGTGTGGATACCAATAGAGGCCAAACGTTTGTGAGGCTTGGGAAAAGATCAAATTTAGATTTGAAGATCTAAAATTTTTTAGAATGCTTGAAAATTGTTAAAGACATGCTTCAAGAGGTAATCATTAATCTTCTATATAGATTTAAGGTTTCTCAGTTTGTATTAAATGAATAGATCTTGGTATAAGGAATTAAATTATTATTTTTAATTCCGCTGCGTTTATTATATGATTCCTTTCACACATATGCTTGTAAATAATTTCCTGCATAAAAGCTATGGGCTTTCCCACTAATTTTCTTCAAAATCTAATACAAGCGGGAAAAGCATTCTTAAAATTTTTATTTCTCTTTTCTTTCCTTTCACTTTTCCTGGAAAACAATTCCAGGCACAAAATTCCTGCCAACCATACTGAGATTTTGTAATTGGTATTGAAAACATACCAATTTTAATCTAATGTATTTGTCCCCACTTCTATTTCCAAAGCTCAATTTCCACCCACTTGCATATCGTAACAGATTACTTAGAGAGCCCGCAGATACACACCTAAAATTAATTCTGTAAATTTGAAAAAAAAAACTAAAGAATTACCAAGAACTCATTGGTGTGAATCAAACGACCGGGAAAAAAAGCGGCCTTTCCAAACGGAACCTGCGAAGCAATCCGAATGGCATATATGAAATAAACAAGAGATTAAATGGACAATAACGAATTTATGCGCTAAAAATTAGTGGGTTCTTTTTAAGACTTGCCATGATGTCATGGTGGAGTTCTTCGGGGAGTTTCTGGACCAGGTTGACGAGGTTAGTGTTGTCGGCGACGAAACTTTTGAGCTGGTCCAGCTGTTCTCGGCGTTCGTAGATCGCGTCAAGCACGCGCCTCGATGCTTTCTGGGCTTCCTCGGCGGGTACTAAAGAAGACAGCGATGTCACTGTTCCCTTCACTGGTTCCTCCATTGCTTGTGTTTGGTTTCGACTCTGTCTTTATCCTAAAATATAGTTGAGTACATATGTGTATCGTCGCTGCTTTTGATACATATTCAAGGGTTTTCAGTCTCAATAATATTAAAATAAATATAAAAATTAATAATATTAAAATAAATACAAAAATTTAATTTCACTAAAATTAATAATCAATTCTTAATGTAAGTAATTACCTACTCTTCTTCGTGTAGACAAATAACTATTCAAATGAGATTTACCTTGCCAACTTAGTATTTTATTATTGTTTGATGATATTACGTTAATATTACTGATATAATATCACCGTTACATTCAATATTTACAGTTTGGTATTTTATTTTTGGGAGTTGTTCATTGAACAGAGGGAAAAAAAAAAAGAGCACAATTTGATTTTGAACTTTTTAATCATTTCAACTTAATTCCTCAATTATTAATTTTATCTCAATTAAATAATTGAAAATTATGGGAGTCAATCCCTTATTTGGGGATAATTTCATCAAAAAAATTTATGTACTCTTAAGTCCGTGTTGTTTTAAATTATCCAAATTACCTTTAGTAGTTATATTTAATTAAGACAAATTTAAAAAATAATAACAACTAAATTTTAAGAATTTAATTAACATTAAAATTATCTCTCTCATATCTCCCTCTCTCTCTCTCTCTCTCATACACACATATAGTAACATTAAAAATAAAAAATAATAACATTCAAATAAAAAAAAATTGTAACATTCAAAACAAAAAAAATAGCATTTAAACAGAAAAAATACTAACATTTTAAAATAAAAAATAATAATATTAAATATTAATATTAAAAAAATAACAATAGCAATATATACTCACGAAAATAGTAACATTCAAATACAAAAAAATAGTAACATTCAAAAATAAAAAATAGTAACATTAAATATTAATATTTGAAATATAACAATAGGAACATGCTCAAAAAAAACAAAAATAATAATATGATCAATAAAAATAGTAACATAGTCAAAAAATAAATAGTGATATGAAACATCAAACAAAATTAAAAATAAAAATAGTAACATTCAAACTCAAAATCAGAGGACGAAACCTTCAATTCTTCAGCATCCAGTTAACTAACCAAAAAATTAAAAAACAAAAATTCAAAATCATAAGAAATTCCAAATACGTGCAAAAATTACATATATTGACGAACACATAGTGTAGAAACAAATACACAATGAAGAGAAAATCAAGTACAGACCGATGGTAGACGATGCGTTAACTTGGAGAGGCGTGGCCATTGATGACGATGAATATGTAAGTTTTGTAGTGAGACTATCGCTACTTTTAGATACAAAAAGAAGTAAAATTAGGCATTTTGAGCTAGAAAGCTTTGAATCGAAATGCTCAAAAGCTCGAGTTCTTGTGATTATGGCAACAACAGAACCTATGGTGTCTATGAGAATATGGAACTAGCAGTAGATATAGAGATAGAGATAGAATATCAGTTGTTATTTGAATTTAAATTTAAAATTTATGTAAAAAAAATTTATTGTCATATATTCGTTGACAGTGAATTAAGGGATAACAATCCTCAATTTAGGAAATTAATTTAAAGTTGCTTTTCAAGAAGGATATTTTGAAATTTAAAAAAAAATAGTAAATTACTTATTAGTAAGATGAAAAATAGACTTAACTCCAAATAAGTTTCCGTGATGGACTAAACTTATTATAAGTCCTTTAAGGAATATTCAACCTCAATTTTCACTAGATAATTTTGTACATTTTCACTATTAGATCAAAGAATTAGATTGAACTAATCTTCAGTTGATCTAACGATATAAATTGATAAAATAACTTAATTTATACAAATTAATAATTGAGGGACTAAATTAAAATAATTAAAAATTTAAAGACTAAATTAATATTAAAGGCAAAGTTCAAGGACCAATTATGATAATTTAGCTTTATTTTTTGTCCTCAGTTTGGTAATTTTGTTGGGATCATCTTGATTTCAGTTTGGCCCCCAAAATATACCATAAATTTCGGTTCAATCTTAAAATTAATTTTTATCTCGAAGTTTCTAACTTAATAAAATTTGGATAGCATCTTCCAAAATCTTTTTTTGATAAGAGCTGCATATCTTGAGTTGATGCATTTGTATTCATTTATTATAAAAATAATAAAAATTAACAAATTTACAAGTATCATATATTCATTGAACAAAATATGAACAATTTTCCTTTAAAAAAATATTTCTTAATTTTTAGAAGTTCTTAAAATATGATCAATTTTCCTTTGATTATTTTGTTTTAAAATTAACTTTAATGTAGAGTAACACTAGAATAGAAACAGTATAGTATTATTGCATTGCTTACATAATATTATTGACAATATCCAAAACAAATGCTCACGCAAAATAATTTTTTTTTAAAATTTAAATTAATAAAATCTTATTTGCAATCAATTATACAACAAGAAGAACTAAATGAGTTAGTTATATTATATAATATATTGAAAATTTTACATTTTGAAACTTATGTCTTTTGTTTGATAACTATTTGAAACTTATGTCTAAAGTCTCAATTTCTATCGAGTCAGCCCTAATTCTTGGGCCTCTTTAGGACTTTGGTTCAATGGGGTCTAATGTTCTTTCTATAGCACTAATAAACACATTATAAGAGCTCGATGGAGTGTGCGAGGTTTTTTTTTTTTTGGTGGGGGGGTGGGATGTAAATTTTGTGCATCCGACAACATTCTGCATGTATTATATATACATAAATCAACAATTGATGAGTCGTTAACCAAAATAGTGAACAGTGGCATGAGAATGACTCTCTTTTACGTCTTGTGATGTACTTGAAGCTGAAGACCTCACAGCATTGAGATTCAACCTGGATTATTCAGCCACAGTTTCGGCCTGCATTTTGTCATACAAGCGATATATCAATGTAGACTTCGACATCTGAGGCTCCCTTTCTAAGACCGAAATCACATCCTTGACAGAGATGGTACGAGCCACCCTAGTTTGAGACACGGCCACTTGATTCCGACCATTTTTCCTAACCGCACCTGGAGACAGAAAGTGGGATAAGAAAACTAATAAAAAAAAGCATGTAACCAATAAATCACGAGATTTAAGAGAAAATGGTGGAAAAGACGTAAACACTGAATGGAGTGACAGTTTCTTCTCTGGTGCTGGTGCGTGATGGGGACTAACTGAGAAGATTTAAGCAGCTCAGTAATGATGTGAATATTGATCAGAAATTGTTCCTAGTTGAGGTTGATGATGATGAAGAATCAAGGGGGGATAAAGTTAAGATTACAGAGAGATCTTGTTTTGTTAGTTTCTCTATAGCAGTTGGGCTGAGAAGTGTTTCTTGGCTTTGCAGTGTGGTTAAGGAGGTTGTGCATGGATAAGTTTAGAGTTGTTCTTGAGGAACTTCAGCAACAAAGCATATCATCTTTGGGTGAAACTTAATTTTCATAGGTTTGGGAAGTTCCTTACGATATCTAAAATCTATTCTCCCAGTGAAAGAGGTTCTATTACTGTTCCTCAAGGGGTTCATTTTAATGGATAGAGGTGGTTTTTGAGTATGTGGGGAAGTTTCTTTAAGAATGGAAGGAACGATGGGATTACATAATATTCCCAAAACTCATTCGAAGCAGGGCATGGGGGCAAAGGTCATTGAGGATACAAAGAATGAAGATGTGAGTAAAGGAATTAACCCTCAAGATGTCTCTGGTTTTGCTAATTGGACGAGTGGTGTTGTGTGTACTAGGGGGCATTTTCATTCCATGGTGGACAAGGCTATATTTTTTGGTGAGAGTAAGATTGATTCTGATGACATTTGTAAAGAGGAAGAAATTTTTCCATAGAAGACAGATATAGTGAGATTATCCAAATAGACTCCTGAAACAAATGCGGAAAGAGATATGAGTTCTTTTTTGGGCATGGGGATTGGTATTGAAGGTTTACCCTTTCATTTGGTGAAAGAAGATGTTTTTAGAAAGATTGGAGAACGGATTGATGGAGGTTGATCAAAACACTTGGTCTCTACAAAACGTGTTCCAAGCCAAAATAAGGGTAGGTAGATGCAAAAAATGGTTTCATTCCAGCATTATTCAATGTTGAATTCCAAAGACCGTGTTATCAGATTAGAGTCAGAACTATTTCGAGGCTTGGAGTGGCGGTAATCGATAGACAGAGACTTCGAAGGCTATATGGTAGCACGAGAAATCGGTATAACAGGAGGGATGTAGAATATGATGACGTGGTTAGGGCTTCATCATGTGGCGAGGAAGGAGGTGGCACATGATTTCTATGCAATTCAAGGTAGACGGAGGGAAGTTGGGTGGAAAAATCATGTTATTGTTTCGGAAATTGGGCCAATTACTAAGGAAGGGGAGGCAGTAGTTCTGGGAGCAGTTGACGCAAATCAAGATTTTGTTAGTGGTTAATTTAAAATTTGAAAAAGAAGATGAGAGAGTCTATGGAGTTGGTGAGATGATTAAGGGGGTTGGTAAGGTATGGAGGCCGATGGGCTGTACGTCTAAAATGGGATCGGATAGTAATGGATGGGCTTGGGGTGACAAAAGAGGGAAAATGCCAGATGACCACCAAAATTCCCTATTGAACTTAAGCTTGGAAGCCCATTGAGATTGGTTCAGTTAAAGCAAAAGGCTTAGAGCTTTTCAAAGTGAAGGAGGCTCCGATCCAAGTCCAAGTGCCTAATAACCCGAAATGTGACTTAAGGAGGATTAGGGTAAATCTGGTGCTTGACAAAGATGACAGGGCATCTTTGGGTCTTCGATGAGGAGGAGGAGTAGGAGATGATGAAGGGAGGAGACGAAGAGAAGAGGTCGAGAGAGGGTTCTGAATGCAACAAAAGGGATGAAATTCAATCACTGTGTGAGACAATTGAAGGGTTTGAAATGCCAGATGACATTTGACATGTATACCGACTGCGTATGGGGATACCTGCTTCAATGAATACAGCATGTTTAAAGTGGGTTGTGAAGAATGT